ATGTACAAATTTAATCAATTGATTAAGATGCATATAGCCTGTGAGAACCAACTTTCTGATTTCTTACATGTTTTCACGTGCTCTCTGCACTTAACTCTCTAAAAAATGAGTTTATATATATATATATATATATATACATACACTTCACACATTCATGGTTAAAGACAAACTACTTGAGATAGCTGGTCTTTGATTCTCTAATGGTTTCCTTGGATTCAGTGAGATATCATTGCTGGATCTACATGTAACTTGTTCTTTCTTTTATATATATTACAAAAAAAAATTATATTTCAATATTTAACTTCATGGGTTGGAACAAATAAATTTTATTTGTTAAATTTATTAAAAAAATTAATTACTTGTTTTAAAATTGAATTTTACAGTGTCATAATGAATTTTTAAATAAATTTCAGTAAAAACTAATTTTACCCAACATATCTCAAGTAAGATTATATCACACAGAGTCAACATTAAACCATATAGTTGAACTATCTTTTTTTTTTAAAAAAAAAAAAAGAAAATTTAAAATATATTAAAAATATCAATAAAATGTATATGTTAAGATAACACTGACGGATATTTAAACCAAAACAGATCTAAAAATAATAATCAAACTCGTACTAAATCAAAGAGAATGAACACGAAGGCATACTTAAATCTAGAGCGGAAGAAATCTTTGTGTAGAACGGTGGATCTTTCAAACCAACACGCTGCTGTAAAAACTAATTTTTACTGTTTATGGAATAACAGGAAATAAACTAAACGCACGTATAATTTGAAGATCATAACTGCCTTTTATGTTTTCGACTTTTATAATTTTTCATTTTGTCCGTCATAAAATGAGAAATTATAAATATGATATTAGCACATATTAGAACCTCATACTTAAAATTGATACATTAAAACTCATTATCGTTTAACCGTAATTGATTGCTTTTTAAACGGACCAAATAAATTGATAGCCCGTTACGTACATTAAGGTCCATATTAAACTAATTTGTTGATAAAAAATTCAACAAATGCAGCTAAATTTTTTAAAATATAAATTACATTTATAATATATTATCTTCCAACACAGAGTTATTTCTGACTATTTAATAATTTTTTTCTTTCTAATAAATTAAATAAGTTATATGTCTCATCAAATATTCTAACATTAGTAGATATTAGTGTTCATGTGGAAATATATATAGTCACCAATTTTTAAAAAGTACATAGTAATAAAATAATAGATGGATTTGTTAAAATAGCAGCAAGAATAAGTGAAAGAATGAAAGAAATTCAATGCTCTACTTTTTATTAAGCAACAACCCTTTAAATAGAGTTCCAAATGTGCTTCAATATATCCTTGCACAAAATTGTTTCTAGAATTGAACGACCTATGGCTTTGAATAAATAATTTTTGGCTTTAAGATGCTCCAATGATCATCATAATGACCATCAAAGCGAGGTATAACTAGTTGGACAAAAGTTTCAGATGACATCGTAGGAAAAGGAAGTTACTGTTGTATATCTCCTTTTAGAGGCTCTAATACAACTGTTAAAATAGCAGCAAGAATAAGTGAAATAATGAAAGAAAATCAATGTTCTACTTTTTATTAAACAACGGCCCTTTGAATAGGTTTTACATCAACTAATTAACTACAAAATAGGATCCAACGAATTCAAAATATAAATCAACTTATTCACTGAGATTCTACATATTTATCCCTAAAGACTTGGTAAATACAACTAATTTCTTAACTCATTAAACACATCATAAATGCTGCCGACTAAGTATCTAATAAGATTAGAGTTGAAAAACACAAATAATAAAGTTAGAAATATTACTATTCCACTCGTAATAGTATTTAAGAAAATAAAAAAAAAAAATTTATAATTTTTCGTTTCAATAGTATATTAAAAAATTAAATGAATTTAAAAATATGAAAAAATAAATAAATTAATAAACTAATTTTTTTAAATAATATCACTTTTTACAATTATTTTTATTAAATAAAAAATAATATTTTATTATAAAATTATAATCGTTGCAAATATATGCGTTCTGCGGAAGCCTTTGGATTCCTCTCACGAGCTCCTCTTTTCTCGCATGCCCTTCCAAGTAGCTAACCATGTCGTGTATGTACGAAGCTGGGTTGTGCTCGGTTTATGTTGGGCCCTGGTCTTGTGGCCGAATGAAAGAAGAACTGCGTTTGGGCTTCATTAGAATTATCATTGTCTTCAATTTCTTTGTATACGTCTAAGATAACTCTGTTAAATGATTTTATTTATTCTAGCAAATTGTTTGAATGATCATCACATTAATTTGAATAATCAAAATTTTCCTGTCTATGTGAGTCAAGAGTTGACGAAGCTCGCGCATGGATTACTGCCTGAGAATTCCTCCAGCTCCCCTGGTATTCAGAAAACAGTAGGCCTTCTACTTTAAGTTTGAACAACAGAGAAGAAGATATTCTAATCTAATCTACACTATCGAGCTTCCCAATTTGGTAAAAACCATTGACCATTGGCACATTCTCTCAACGTGGGCCGACACCTTATCAACATATATAACAACATAATCCAAATTCTCATCACCCCCCAGTACAGATTCAACATAAAACTCACCGATTCTTTTCCAATGGCACCCACCATCACGCTCTCTCCTACCGCTTCTCTCCTCCCGTGTCCATCTGCTTCATCTTCTTGTTCCACGAAGATCCACTTGCGTTTTTCATCATCTAGAACAATCGGTCTTGTTCAAGCGAAGAAGTTTAGAAATTACAATTGCACGCCAGTAATTCAGTCGGCGGTTTCAATCGAGAAGGAAACCCCTGAGACCGAGCGCCCGGACACATTTCTCAGAGAATCTGATGGTGACGCCGCCGCCCTGTCTTCCTCTGCTTCTCATTCTTCGATAAGGTCCCGCTTCGAGAAGATGATAAGGGATGCCCAGGACAGCGTCTGTCAGGCCATAGAGGATGTTGAAGGAGGGAGTAAGTTCAAGGAGGACGTGTGGTCGAGGCCCGGCGGTGGTGGCGGCATCAGCAGAGTCTTGCAAGACGGTGCCGTTTGGGAGAAGGCCGGCGTCAATGTCTCCGTCGTTTACGTGTTATGCCGCCGAAGCTTATAGGGCTGCCAAGCTGCTTCTCCGATGTGAAACCAGGTCCTATTTCCTTTTTTCGCCGCCGGTATCAGCTCGGTAATTTCATTTTTCTCCATTTTCTTTGAATCCTTTGTTTTCAATTTTGAGCATGTCAGTGATAACCTTGAAGAGGATTTTAGTTCCAATTTTCTTGAAAACGAGACACGTGTATAAAAACCCAACTTTTTCTTCCTTCTCGTTCCCTTTCCTACAATCTTGAAGAGGAATATGAAACCTTGAACAACCTTGAAATCGGAATTTGCAGCTCCAGTATCAAATTTATCATTTTGAATCCAAATTCTTATATTTTATCCCCAATTCTTTTCAGGTCCTGCATCCGAAGAATCCATTTGCACCAACTCTGCATTTTAATTATCGCTATTTTGAGACTGATGTGCCAAAAGGTACTGCTGTTCCCCATTGTTCATTTGCTTAGGGTAATCCTCAATGGTTTCATTTGTTTCCCTAATTAAAGCTGGATAGCTTCTTTTGTATGACTTGCATGGTATGGAGAAATTGTGTTATGTTGTGCTTTATCCTTGATATTAAGGTTTGTTCAATCTACAATAATATAATGCTTTACCTTCAAAACTTATACCAGCACAAAAACCAAGTTGCTTGAGGCCTATGCTTTGCCTGATCCACTCTTAGAAATTTATGCTGGTAATGGCTGTATCTTTTCTAAGAGATAATGAAGATATAAGAGTGAAGTCTCAGATATATTAGTTTAATTAGATGGGGGAGGATTTTCATGAAGCAAAGATATAAGAGTGAAGTCTCAGATAACTTAGTTTAATCAGATGGAGGAGGATTTTCATGTTTGTTTCTAGGAAGAGCTTAAAATTTCCATGTGAAGAATTTTGGACATTTACCTTTTGATGCAGGAGAAGTTTTTTGTGATACCAGATGATATGCTATAAGAGATAAGAATGAGAAAAACAGACAACAAATGGAAGAGTTTAGGGAAAATAGGGAGAAGGGGGAGAATATTGACAAAATATCAAAAACTGGTAAAAATCTAGACTAATGGAAATCTTTTTTTTTTTTTTAAATCAAAACTAGAATAATAGAAATCAACTTGAGTTTGGTTCCAATTTAAATTCCATGAGATAGGAATGAGAATGTAGTGATAGAAGTTTAAATGAAAATAACCTTTCAATTTCAAATCAATTTTATGTTCAATTTAGTTAGGTGTATTTATTGTTAATTTATTGATTGATGAGACTACAAATTCATCATTATGGAATGGAAGATGTAAGTTAAGTTGGTTTAAAATTGTATGAGAATAGAAGATGTTTGTGTGAAATGCAATGCAAGGGAAGAAGGCTAGGGTAATCTCTAACTCAATTTGTAGGAGGGTTAGTTTGAGGAAAGGAAAGTAAGCACACTTCAGCAATTTCCAGGACCATGCTGTCTTGTTGAGGAGTTGCTTCTATGCAAAATTATGGTTGAAGACTAGAGTAGCTTGGATCTTTCAAATGCAATTTGAAGGAGAATTAATATGAATAGGGTAAGAGAAAGTACTCTTCAGCAATTTACCGGATTCTACTCTCTTGTTGAGAGTTTCTTGGGTGCAAAATTGGGATGACTTGCTGAGTTTGAATGCTCTTTTTCCTTTTTGGTTTTGTTCCTTTTTAGCTGCTCACCTTTTGTGACTGGGATCTTATGCTTAAGCAAAAGGGACCCTTTCCTCTTTTTAATTAACCTAAATAAGGGGCCTATCGGAACTGGATATTTTGGTCTTTTTGCTCAGGCTGCATATTCAAAATAATTTTCATGTATGTTAATTTCATCAGTTTTTTCGTGCACTAGAAAGAGGCAACAGCTAGAAAAATTTATAACACTTCTCAATCATTTAGATGCTCCTGGATCACCAAGGCAATGGTGGTTTGGTGGTGGGACAGATTTGACCCCTGCTTATATCTTTGAGGAGGATGTCAAACACTTTCATTCGGTACTCTCTCTCGATCTCTCTCTCTCTCATGTGTCTCTTAAACTGAGTATATTATCTCGTGAGATATGTGTCAAATTATGTGCTTGATGAAATATATTTTTGCATGCAATACATGAAGAAATGTGTGCTTGATATTTAATTGATATAATTCCCCATATAGCGACTTGTTACGAGTGTGAACTGATGCAGGTCGTCTATTGTAGGTTCAAAAAAAGGCATGTGACAAATTTGATCCTACATTTTATCCCCGTTTCAAGAAATGGTGTGATGATTACTTCTATATTAAGGTATAGCTAATCATTTTAACCTTTTATTTTATTTTTTGAAATAAAAACGTGGATATCATTTTTATCCTTTTATGCTATTGTGTCATGCTGTTTTGGCATTTAATTATATAATTCTCAGAGTCAATATGTTCCAGAGTAATAATTGGTTACTAATAACAAGAGTTACATGGTCTATATGCTTTATTTATTTATAAGCATATTTTATATTCTCTACCTATATATATATATATGTAATGTGTGAAAACATGATCAGAATTCAGCATCTAGAGCATTTTGAATAACACCCTCAGTAATTGACATTTTCTCTGAAATTTTAACCATTTATGAGTGTCCTTAAAAATGGACCATTTTCACAATTACAAGTACTATTAGGTCTATTCTTTTTGCAAGGCGATCCCATTTCCAGCCTGCATGGTAGCGTCATTCCTAGTCCTTCCTAATGAAGGAAATTCTGGCTTCAAAGTAGTCAAGCCTTGTTAATCAGAACCCATGATGTAAAACTATAGAATGAAAAGGCCTTTAGTGGATAAGTTTTGTGCATTTTCAATACCTAAGCAATAAACATTAAAATGAATAAATCTGCTTTAGCATGCACGTTATCACTTTCCTTCCAAATGAAAAAAGATCTGGCTTCGAACTACTTAAGCCTTGTAATATGATGAAAAGCTATAAAATGAAAAGGCCTCTGTTAGATAATTTTTGTGCATTTCAATAGCTAAGCAATAAATGTAAAAAGAAAAGAATTTGCTTTGTTTGGAGCGTAGATGTTGTCATTTTGATTTGGGTCTGAAGTCATCCCCATGTCAGCATGATATACTCAACAGCCGCATGTATCAAATGTAATTTTAAAAGCTCTGTTGGAACTTGGAAGAGTTAGAACATTATTAATGTATTAAATTCTCTAAACTGGTTCCGATGACTTTTACTTGACTGGCCAACCTACTGATTTTTTCCATTGGAAACTTACTTAGGAATTGGCTGAATAGATTAGTTTGGTTCCTTAAAGGCTTTTAAGTTAAATCTGAGCACCTGCGACCTGCAAACATGATAATAAGATGAAAATATTAATATACATGTTGGGGATTGTAGGTATGTCATCTGTTTCTAATATATTCAGGTAGAATCAGTGACATTCTGAAGCAGAGCTATTCTATAATGGGCTGTGATTTCATGGAAAACTGCTTTAAGACCTTATCAGTTTGTCACTGCTGAGTAGAAATACCCTTTTTGCATTGATTGTCAGACCTGAGTTTGATTGTTTGTCCCTATTGGGAAGAGTACAGTGCTTTTACCAACTGCATCATCATTCAAGATGTTTTAGCGGGGAAATAGATAGTAATCTCAAACTTGCAGCATTTAGCTGATAGTAATCTCAAAGTTGCAGCATTTAGCTTATGTTTCAAATGATCGGACTTCATTTTGATGCTATATTGCAGCACCGAGGTGAGAGGCGAGGACTTGGGGGAATATTTTTTGATGATCTAAATGATTGTGGTCAGGAGATGCTTCTGGCGTTTGCCACTGGTAATTGCCTAATACTTTAAACGTAACCTTATATTTTGGTGGTTTTGTAGTATTCAAATATGCTTATCCATAAATCTAATGTTCTCTCCTGCAGAGTGTGCAAATTCTGTTGTTCCTGCTTACATACCAATCATTGAGAAAAGAAAAGACACGCCATTTACTGATCAGCATAAACAATGGCAACAATTGCGAAGAGGGCGCTATGTGGAATTCAACTTGGTATAATAAACCAACTCTAAAAACTTTAACTGCTTAAAATTCTGTTGGAAATGTAAGCCTTATATTTGTTTTTGATTGGCTTCTCTTCAAAGGTTTACGATCGAGGTACAACATTTGGTTTGAAGACAGGGGGCCGAATTGAGAGCATTCTTGTTTCTCTTCCGCTAACTTCACGATGGGAATATGACCACGTAAACTTTTCTAGACTTCTTCCTAACAGCATTTAGAATTTTGTTTATTGCAATGAAATTAATGCTAATTTCCTCACCTGGACTGTCATGCTTTATATCCAGAAACCTGAGGAAGGAAGCGAAGAGTGGAAACTGCTAGATGCTTGTATCAACCCGAAGGAATGGATCTAAAAGTTTTTGTAGGACGAACTTGAATCTTGTATTCACTTTTGTCTGAGAAAAAAGAAGAAAATATTGCATATCATCTAGTTTTCCATTTCTTTTTTCTTTTTTTCGCGCCTTCTTCCTCCGAAATGTTTTCGCTCTTAGCTGTTGCTAGTCCTTTTAGATCCAGGTGCATTGTGTTAAGCACTGGAGAGAATAGAAGAGTTTGTATTTGTAAATTTGAAGGACTAATTTAGTTGCAATGTTGTTTCATTATTTACTTAATTATGAGATTATAACATTAATTAAGGTAGTTAAACACTTAATTTATTAGTTTATTGTTGAGATTATTTACCATATTGTATTTTATTCAGTGAATTATTAGGACTTTGATATATATATATATATATATTTAATTGAGATAACATCTAAACTACTCTTTTCTCTGAAAATTTAAAAACAAAAAAGAGTATGTCTATAATTATTACACGACAACCCGAGTATTCTCATACGTAACGTGTACTTATGATTACCATGAAGCTCTTCGTAGTACTTGTCAGGTAAGCAACATGAGGGTAGCAAGATTCCCATATACAACATATATGCATACATACACATATACATATGTATTAATTATGACGGTAATATCTGGAAACTAAAGTTTATATTTTTGTCTTTTATTTGCAAATAATTATCAAACCCTAAAAAGCAAAACATAAATAGTTTTACCATTAAAAGTATCTAATCTTAACCAGGAAGAAAATAAAAGTTGCAGACAGAAATTTCTCAATAAGGAAAGGAGTGTTCATGTGGTATATCTACATGTCATACACTCACATTCATCACAGAATTCAATCAGATCCAGACAGTATACACTCACATATATCATCATCATATACATGACCATCATCTTTTTCCTTGTAAAAATTTGTGATGGATTGCAGTATATCATATTTATTTAATAAAATTTAGCAACTTTGAATTTTGAATTTTATTGTTGTCTCCTATTAAAACAAATGATAGTCCACTATTATTCTATATTTGGCAATTGGAAAATTAAATTATTTAGTTTTATTTCACATTTTTGTAAGTAATTTATCTGACTTATTTTTTTATTTTTTATTATTTTTATAAAATATAGTACCATCAGTTTAATTCCGAAAAATTTTTTATTAAAATAAAAAAAAATAAAAGATCAAGAAATTCAAAAATAACAAAAGTTTTGTTCAGATAATTACACGATAAATTTTAGTAACAGATGTATAATTTAATTACAGTTTCTATTTACTCAACTTACATCAAAATTTAAAAGCGATAAGATAAGAAAAATAGATTCTCTGGACGTGCGCCCAATATAAAAATATTTTATATTATAGTATTTATAATTTTATCTTAACTATTTGAACATGTATTAATTATTTAATAATTATCTATCTTTTAAAAATAAAATAGTGTAACATGGTAATAACAAAATATAATTACAATTATATATGAAATAATTGAATTATAATTAATTTTTACATGTCAAACAATTAAATTTGGAAACTAAATATGAATATAATCAATATTTGACCGAAGAAATATATTTCAATGATAACAAAAATTAAAAATTCAGGTCAAAAAATAACAATAAGAAAGGGCAAAAAAAAAAAAAAAACAAAAAAACAAAGTCTTCACGCGGTAAGCCTATTCGTCAACAAGAACTGAAAAAAAATAACAATATCCTGCTTCAACAAAGCTGCTTTAACTTGACTTTTGCAAAAGCCTTCCGGTTTCTCAAGGGCCGGGGTAAACTGTAGCCCCCGGAAAGGGGGGGGGAAAAAAAAAAAAAAAAAAAAAAAAAAAAAAAAAAAAAAAAAAAAGGGGGGGGCCACGTCAGCAGCCGCGTCAGCAGCCACGTCAGCAGTCCCGGCCAACCAGGGCCTGACACGTGGCAAGATCGCGTCACTCCGAAAGGAGCCACGTTGGCGATCCGCGTGGGTGCGATCCGACGGCCCAGATCAATCACGCGATCGGACGGCCCAGATTCAATCGCACGGACGGCCCAGATTCAATCAAAAACGAACGGCCCAGATTAAAACAAAATGAACGGCTGTGATCAAAAGGCAAGGGGTTATAAATAGAACCCCCACACCAGACCACAAACCCTAGCCGCCAGCCGCTCGCCGGAGAAGACGAACCAGAGGCCGACCGCCGCCACCCGCCGCCACTCGCCGCCGCACCGGGGAAATTTCCGACCGCCGATCGAGGTAAATTTCATACCCCCGACTCGTTTTTCCGCACTGATTCCTCCTATGGCCAAATCGAAACCGAAATCCCGGCCAAACGGCCGGAATACGCGGCCGAAGCCCAGCGGCGCCGCCGCGCCCCCTCTCGGTTTTTGCCTCCGACGAGGCCCTTCCCGGCCTCCGTTCGATGCAATTTTTATATCACCGTGATCACCATTCTTTTCTCTACAGGTTGACCGGAGCCGAATCACCAAAACACGAACCTCGCCGGAGAGCCGCTGCACCCGAGAGCGCCGCCGTCGGTAAGCTCCGTTTTTTCCGTGATTTTTGGCCCCCCGAGGGCCCTAGGGCTGTTTTCTGACAAGGACCAATGCGAGTGTGGCCGAATTCGGCCGAAAACGGCCGAAAACAGTCAACCCGAGGCGACTCGCCGCCGCCAGCGGCGGCGCCGTCGCCGGAGCACGGCGGAGCCGCCTTGCCGGAGTTGCGATTTGGGCCGAAAGAGGCCCTGGGCCTAATTTGGATTTTTTTTGGAACACGTGCAGGTACGGTTAGTGTGTTTCAGTTTCCCGGGAAAAATTCAGGGAAAATTAGGGACGGCCTGCAGGCGCACTGTGAATCGTATTCAGATCCCGAAAACAAGTAAGGACCCCTCACCCTATTTCCTATCACGGTATTAAAGTTCAAAATGATAAAATGGTATTTCTTGAATTAACGCATGTGTGAAATTGCTTAAGGTTGCTAATGGAGCCCGAGTCTAGTTAATGGAGCCCGAGTCTAGTGTGATTGATGATTTACTGTTATTTGGTCTGTTTTACACTGTTTTACAGCTTTAAATGCATTATGGGGTTTGATGTGTTCATTTTACAGATTTGTGTGCATATACTACGTTTTTTATTAATTATGGGTTGAATGACTGAAAAACTGATATTGTATGTTGTCTGTTGGTATGAATTACGATTTGCTTGTTTAAATGTGAATTGATGATGTTGATTGAGGAAAAGGAAAATGAAAGATTGTATAGACTGATAATTGTATTATGGGGGTCAGCCTGACTAGATATCCTGGGAGATGGTGGACGGACCGGGTCCGTAGGGAACCCTACCGGGATTGTGGTCTCACATGCCGGACGGGGTATGGAGATCTTATGGTTTTGGCGCCCATACCGGACGGGGTATGGGGACGGCCCGTTTCACCCTCATACCGGACGGGGTATTGAGGTTTATGGTTTTGGCGCCCATACCGGACGGGGTATGGGGACGGCCCGTTTCACCCTCATACCGGACGGGGTATTGAGGTTTATGGTTTTGGCGCCCATACCGGACGGGGTATGGGGACGGCCCGTTTCACCCTCATACCGGACGGGGTATTGAGGTTCATGGTTTTGGCGCCCATACCGGACGGGGTATGGGGACGGCCCTGGAAACTGATTATGAATGTTAAAGGTTAACGGGTAGCGGAACCCCTATGGACCCCCACGGATACTAGTAGGCTGGTAAATGAGAAAAATGGATATGTTGTACAATGATTGAATTACAAGAGGCGTGATAAGTGTTATGTTTTACAGCTTAGATTATTAAATGATTATGATGATGTTATTGTTTTTCTCATATTGTTTTCATAAATTCCACCAAGGTAAGTGGATGGTAAAGGTTTTCATGTTAATAAACGAGTTTATTGTAAATTGTGCTCCATTGGTCTTTTTGTGGTTTTCTACCCACCTTTATTTCCGTGACGGTGAGATATCGTGATGTTCTTACTGGGCTAGTGTAGCTCACTCCTTAATTAACCATTTCAGATCAGGAAGACATGGTTCCCGAGCCCGTTCCGCAGGAGGACGACGAAGGGGATGCCTAGAGACTCTGTAGACATACGCATAGTCTTATTTTCGAGTTCCTCTCTTAGTTAGTTTAACCTTTTATATTTTAAGTACGTTTTTTGTTTTTCGTGTAAGGGATGTTAATTGAAATTTTGATCTCGCTTCCGCATTTGATATATTTAAATACTCATTTCATTTTAATATTTTCCGGGGCCGTTACAATAAGATTTAGAAGTTTGAATGGAATTTACAGGCTTAATTTTAGTCAGACTTTTGGTGGTTTATGCCAAATTCTGCTTTAGAAAAAAGCCTACGAGATTTTAGGGTATTGATCGAAAGTTTGAAAATTATTTACTTATTTTGCAGGGTTAATTCCTATCCATTTGAATTTTCTATAAATAATAAGAATTTTTTTTTTTTTTTGGTCCAGGAAATTTTATTTGTATTTTTGAAAAATAAAAATAAAAAGTTGCAGAAATTTTATTTCTGCCTATATGAAAAAGCCCATGTATCGATTTGGGTTTTTTCATGGTCAGCTCAGAAACATGATATGTATCTCACTTATTGTACCCATGTTTATATGCATATTATATATCTGCAGTGTATGTATATATATATATATCGTTAACCTCTAATCGACTATATAATATCATGATATTTAACTAATTTATTTGATTAAAGTTACTTGTACTCCATAAAATCATAAGAATTAATTTAAAAACAAAAATCATGCATGGTTTGATATCTTCAAATTACAAATGAAATTTCACAAATTTTAAATTAAAAAACTACATATTTACAAATAAATTTTAATAAAATTTTCGAATTTGTTCCTAACATAATCTTTTTTTAATAATAAAATTTAGGAGAAAAGCCCATAATTGTTTTTTTTTTTTTTACGGGCAATTGGTTAGCAAAAAAGCTAATAATCCCTTTTAGGTTAGGATAAGACTTCCATCTACTTTCCTGCTTCAAGCTTTAAAAAGAAGGCAGCTTTAAAAGATTCAAACAAGCATTACACTTGACATGAATTTGTTTAATCCGCAAGCAATATGCAACTATTATTATTATTATTATTATTATAATGCACGAACACTATATCTAGTGTGTATCAGCAACCTTATCTCTTTCTCATTTTCTTTTATCATAACTTGTGGGTTACACTTAATATAATTGGGTCCCAATTGAACCACTTGGGTTGAAAAATTTATTTACTACCTTTAATGGGTTGACTAGTATAGTAACTAAATTGATTAAGTTTTTACTTTTATTTTTACTT